AGCATTCAAAAACTAACTCAGGTTACATAAAAGCACTGCTGGAGCAAAATTCAAACAGAATAGAATATATATATATTTATATTCCATTTTGTAGCATGTGTTTTTACAGTTTTTAATTATTTTTTTCTTAAGAGAATAAGGAAGAGTTTTAAGGAGCAGCAGCATTCACTGTTAGCTATAAACCACCTGGCAGGTTATAAAACAGGCAAGGAAAGCACACATACACCCCCAACATCAGTTCATGTCTCAAACCAGGTATCAAGTGTCCTGACACTGTTATAGACAGACACACTGACACTGAGTTAGCACTGAGGAGGAGTATTTCACTAAAGGTGAGTAACTCTGCAATGCAAGACTGCCTTTACCCAAGTATCACTCATTCAATGGCACCTGTGCTACTAATCACCCAAAGAACCCACCCAAGGTTTATAATGAAGGACAAGCATCAAAACAGTCAAGAGTTTGCATTTTCTCTGTCTAGAGGCTCATCACACACAGTATAGTCTACCCCCTTCTTATTACCAAAGCTGAAAAGTTAAGTGCTTGCAAAATCACCAATGACAGCAGGTCTATATAGAAAGAGGTGATTTCTGTCTGCCAGCTTTTTAATTTAAGGTATTGCAGCCTTTAAACTGGGCTCAGGCTATGCCTCTGTTGGCTGGACACTGACTGTCAAACAGTCTGAGCAGCCACATAACCATTTCAGAGAGATTCCCAAGCACAAGGGGAAAGACTTTGACACTCCAAACTCACCCATAAAAAAGCTAAAGTGAAAAAACACAGTTCCAGTTCAGCTGCTGATACACAAATAGGTTCTCTTAGATTTATTGGTCTCACTTGATTGCCCCAATGTTACTTTTAAAGCCAAACTGAGCACTAGCACAAGCAAATGAAACTGTGCTACACATTGTGCCATTCCCAGTTCTTAACCAGAAGATCAGAGGCCAAAATTCCATCTCCAGCAAGAGAGGCACAAATCTTCAGATTCAAATTCTTATCTTTCCACTCTTATCCTCCTTTGATAAAGCACAGAACATCATTACAGTCATCTTTTCAGTGAAAGGGAACATTTATTTCAAACATGCAAAACCAGGCAACTTAATTATGACCCTTCTGATGAGACAGTTCCTAGATTTTCTATCAACATGTTCCCAAGCCCATTCCCAGGGGAGCTCAGTGGTAACATGAAGAGCGTGACCGTTTATTTGGCTTAAGGAACACATTAATTTATCTGGCTTATAGAATTTAAACATCTGACGAATGACAGTGTGGTTGATTTTATTCATCAGCTAATTGCTTTGCCACCTGGAGCTGCAGCTTTATATATTCAGCTTATAAAAGATCTGAAAAGGATCTCAATTATTCTTTAATTTGTTCCTTGAATTTAAAGTAGGAAAATCTGGCTTAATCAAACATTGTCTCAATTCTATTGGGATATGTCTAGTTACCTTATAACAAGGTAAGCTTTCATTTAATCATATGATATGATAATTCCCCACTTTCAAGCCAAGTATCCTCTTAGTTACAATCAATTTTCCATTGAAAAAATAAACATTGTCTCTTTACTGAAATCCCTGCAGAGGAAAATAGTCCTTTTAAAGCAACTTGCTGTTAGTACAACCACCCTAGGAATTTTTGTGTTGGAATTCATTAAACCCCCTCATTTAGCACTGACGGGTAAATTGTGATATCCTGATTTTTCAGAAATGACTCTTCACACACAGGATGGTTTTTGGCATAGTTGAAAAAGTCTGATAATGAGCATTTGGGCAGAATGGTGGGATAAGCAAAATCTGGGGGTTAGCTTCTATTTTGCTGTATAAAACAATTTTATGTAGCATCCCCTAAAAATTGATTGCCCAATAGTCCTTGTATTTATTTGACAGCAAGTAACAAAGGGGTAAGAAGACATATCAAACACAAAGTAGCTTTTCACCAAAGTACAGTTAAAATTCCATGTTTCCATGAGAAGATAGCACTAAAAATTATATAATTGGGTCAGATCCCTGCATAGTCACGTAACATTTTTCCACAACACCCCAACAAGACACTTGTCACCAGCAGTGCTTTTCCACACTTTCCCAGAGAAGCCTGGATCTACAATGAGTTTTAGAAAGAGTGGATCACTGGCAGCCTGAGTGTCTGGGTGAGGGCAGTACTATGGAGTTTGCTACTTGGAAATAGCAGCTTAATTTAGGAAGCTTAAGATGCCACCACGTGGAATGTGTAACAAACCTAAGTGTATGTTTGCACAGGCATAACTGAGAGGAAAAAGAAAATGAGGTAAAGGAAAAAAAGAAAACTTGCAGAGGAATCACAATGAATTTGAACTGATGGAGTGCTGGTAGATACCAGGCTTAAAAACTGAGGAGTCCAAAGGCTAGTCTTGGTGGAAGAAACATCCTTCTGATGAAAACAGCATGACAGGCACTGGAGAAATAATTAGACAAGGAGATGATAAGAGGACAAACACTGAAACTACTTAAAAGCAAAATTATTTGTACCGAGTCCCAAAACACTCTGGAGCCAGAGACAAGAAGGGAAAAACTGGCCATGCTAGTGCTTCTACAGACACTGAGAGCAATTCATGCTGCAGCCAGAGCACAGAGGCCCTGTGACACTGGGCCACAGAAAGGTCAGTAACAAGAGCAGCAGGAGGAGCTGGAATGAGGGAGCAAAGCAGCTGACACAGCCCCATCAGGGTGGTGGAATGGTTTGGCCAGATAAACATGCTTAGGAAAGTTCTCTGATGAGGAAGACAACAGAAACTGCAGCTCTACATAATATGACACCTATTTTGCATCTCTGGCTTTGATAACCTATGGTCCAGCTCCAGCTGCCTTTCATTTACATAGGAAGCTTCTGGTTTTGCATATCTGGAATTTCATAGTTCTCTAATGCACACTACTGGCATTAGAAATAGTGATTTATAGTATTAACAGTAGACTATGTATTAATTGTTTTCACCAACTGTTTTTATTTTTAAATTTGTCCTTAGATTTGAGCAGTTGGGGCAACTGAGATGCACTAAGCAGGCACAGACACTGGTGAAGCATTTGGAGGAGTGGATTTACTTTTACTGAAAGTAATTTCTCCAGAAATTCAGATTCTCCCTCTCTCTGGAAGACTTGGCAAGCAGATGGAGATCTGCAGGACACAGCATGAATATAAACACACAATGACACTTGGAATTCCAAGGCCATCCACTTTAGTAAATACTCTAGAAGAAACTTGGGATTTTTGTCATGAGACAAGTGTTTCTGTATCCAAATGTTTTGCTCTGGATCCATGAGGCAGGGTGGAAGCATTCAGTGAAGGAGCCTGGTATTTGGCAACATTTCCTTGAGATCTCCCTGGAGCTCTATTCTGTGGGAATGTCAACTTTGTTCTCCTCTAGCATCTGACACACATATGAGGTTGAAGCAACCGCTGACTTCTCAATCAGCTTTGTTCAGTGAATTCAAGCAGCATTTTTAGCACTGAAAAAGTCTTTTAATCAGGCTTATTATGACTTCAAACAAAGCTGAGTCTTGGATGCACTCAAGCTACTGTGAATTCCCAGTCTGTTTACTCAGAATTCTGAAAGAGGGGCATATTTCTAAAAAGAGAAAAAAATATTTCCAAGGCTAACACCCAGACATATTTTTTGCCTTACAAATATCAAAGACCAAAATGTTTCCTCAATGCAACCTGTGACTTATGCGTCATGCAACCCATAAACCAAACTATAAAACAGCAAAGTCTGAATTCTAACAGGTGGAAAAGTCACAAGAAGAATTTAGACTTAGGCAGCCTGCAAAAACTACGTTTCAAAGCAATATCTGAACAATAAAAAAAATTGCAGCATGAGTATACCACCAGTTAAATATTCATTCTTGCTTCCCACTGAACTTGCCTTTTCTGCCAAGCAGAGTAATGCAATGTGACCTACAAAGCACCACAGAGAACAGAAAGTGATAAGGCCTGCCCTGGCTTTTATACAGTGCCAGCATAAGAACAGAGAGGGTTTTTTAAGAGTTTTGTAAGAGTATAAAAGCACTATATACAACAGAATTATTCCTGGCACATATCAGAAATACCTACCAGATACTTACAACTGCAAAACACTGCAAAGAACAGAAATGGAGTATCCTTTGCTACAGCTTTATCATCTACCAGTGCTTCCCCCACATTTTGAAAATCTGCCAGGAGCCAATCCTGAGAGTCATATCTGTGTCATGAGGATTCATGTGTTTGCATATGCTCAGCAAATACAGATATCCTATTTGGTACTCAAGTGTGCTCCTTTGGCCTATTCCTGTTCTCTGATTATGAAAATAGCAAGGGACAACAGTAGCCCCATTAGGTTTTGGCTAACATCAGAGAGGCTGTCCTGGCCAGCAAGAAGCATGTACCTCATTCTCCCAAACATATGTCAGCAATCAAGTGGAGCACTCAATTAGAGCTATTCAGTCCTCTCCCAGCTTTTCAACAAAGAATTCTTCCTTTCCTTAAAAAATACCTACCCATGGAAAACACATGTTTAATGGGGATTTGGGACAGCACTTCCCTTATTAAAAAAAAAATATTATTTTCATCTTTAGCTTGTATTCCTCTTTTTTTTTTTTCTCCTCCTTTATCTCTTGCCTCCAACAACTAATAAAAGTAAATTAGTCCCACCCTCCCCAATGTTTAGAAACTGAAAAGCCTTGAAAGAGTTTCATTAAAGAAAAGAAAACAAAAATCAGGGGAGGGGGGAAGGGGTAGAGAATTAAAATCAAAATAACTTGCGGAACAGATCTTTTTCCAAAGTTTCCAAGCTCCAAGTACTGCCAGAGCGAGCAATACTTCCCAGGCTCAAATTAAACACCACTGCCAGTGGTGACCTCCTCTCCCACTGCTCTGCCTGCCAGGGTGCAGCCAGATCAGCCTTAGAGATCCTGACAGTGCTGGCAGGAGATGCTGGGAGCTCAAAGCCCATGGAAAAGCCCACAGAGCTTGAATTTTTTTTCTTTTTTTTAATAAAGCAATAATGCCACATAAAAGTAGAGACTTAGTAGAGGGATGTAACTGCATCCCTCTGCTCTCTGATTGAACAGGCTGTACTCTTCAGCACATCTCTTAATTTTAGTATAGCCCAATAATATCAGTAGTGTAACTGTGAGGGGTAATAATAAACTAATGGTATGAGAACAACCTCATCAGTTTCTGTTTGAGCTCAGAGTTCCTGTCTGTTCAACTGCTTCTCACGCAGAAGACATGAGAAAAGATAAGGAGAGAGAAAAAAAAAACAGCTGGGAAAAAACATCCAAATTTTCTCTGCCAATCTCCTATCACAGCACATACAGGCAGCTTTCCTACCAGCAGAGACATATAACTTTAATTCCTTGCACAGAAATCTCATTTAAATGAATATATCCTAAATGAACACCACAGCTAGACTTTTACTCATGAATTCGGGAATACAGAGCCCACCTCCAGATTCAGCTGGGATGATCAGAGGAATTGATAATTTTTCCAGCACCCCTCTTTTGAGAGATACTATTATTTCAAGCTTAACAAACCTGTCTTTCACAAGAATTTAATACCTTCCCAGTCTTACAGAGGAATAGATTTATCCCTAAAATAAAGCAGCACAGGAAAAAAAAAAAAAAAAAAGACATTATCAAATGAGTTATTTCCGTAGAGGAACACAGTTCTATGAATTCAAAAAATCTCTTGAAAAAGCAAATGCTTATTTTATGTCTACCTTACTGTGGATCTTTGTCAGAAACCTTGTTACCCCTTGACAAGGTGAGGCTGAAGACTTTGGAGGGAACAAAATCTGAAAACTTACCTGTATCCTGGAGAGAAGAACCCAAGGAAGACTAATAAGATCATCTCAGCTAAAGCAATAGAGGGCAGAGAGTTGGAAAGGCAATGTTAGTGCATGCACACAAGTCAGTCAGTATTTTGCAGCAGAGAGAACAAAACTCATGGTCCTCGTGCTATACAGCTCAGATCCATTACATTCATTTGTGGGTGTGATATTATTAATTAAGAGAAACAGAAGTGGTCAGGGAACAAAGGGGTTAAAAATGAGACTAGAACCTACACAACCTACCAATGGATAAAATGGATGAAAAATAATCTATGCTTGATTTATTCTCAACAACAAACTACATTTTAAAGATAACTGAAATGAGGCAAATCCTACCCTAAGATAAAATGTAAAAAGAGCTTTTGGTTTTGTTGTTGGGTGCTTGTAATATAAGCCAAGGAAAGTAAAAGCTGTGACCAACTCTAGACAATACCTCAAAGACAGGATACTGCCACATGCTGGAAGCATTCAAATAGCTGCTTTTTCTTGAGGTGATCTGAAGTGCAGCCTCCCATCTCCCAAACCAAAGGCATCTGTCCTCTGGGGTAATTCCATCTCTCTCCATTGACTATGTTCCATTCTCTTGAATACCCCAGAGATTAAAAAAAAAATAATAAAAATTAAATGTCATAATTTAGAGAAGGCAATGGAATTGTTGAGTACCTGGTTTCATCTTTTTTTAGTCCTCTCAGAGAAGACATCTCAATAAAAGAATTCCAGCTGCTTTCCACTGTGATCTAAACTCACTTGGATTTCATCCCACAAACATGGTAAACTAAGCTATCATTTCAGCCGTCCACACAAACCTAATCTTGCAAGATAGAGCTCCCTGAGATCTGTCTTGCCCTAACTCCACTCAGACTAGTTCCCACACTGTCTTTAGCCTTGCCATATTTTCTATCACTGCAATCCCCTTCCCAAAAAGTCAGATTAAAATACTTCCAGGCATAGGGAGAGCTGTTTCTCATGGTAAGAAACCATGAGTTTCTCCAAGGCTTTAATCTAAAATTGGAAAGATACTATAGGGAAAAATCTCACCTCTAGGAAAGGTAGGTATGTCAGACAGCCCTCAAACACACTGCTGAAAATTACTGTTGCATTCTATAATATTAAGATTTAAATTCACACAGGCCTGCTGGTTTCCTCTGCTGTGGATCCACTGTTCAAACTATCTGTTGATTAAGCTAGGAGGAAAACCATTATTTCTTCTTCATCTCTGTACACATGGAGAACATTAAGACAAATGTCACATTTCAACCCTTTCTTTAATCTCCGTAGCCAGAGAGCCTAATTTTCCTCCAGCACAAGGGGGTAAAAAAAAAAAAAAATCTAAGGTGGTCACACTTAAGTTAATAGAATTGTACCCATATAAAACTGGTTAAAATAAACTGAGCCCCAAATCAGATTTTCAAACTTAAACAGACTACCAAAAACTCAATCACAGTCCATGGAATGTATGCAAGAGCTGCCTCATCAAACCAGGATGCTGTGTAGAGATAACATGACACTACAACCATGTACTTGGTTGCAACAATATAGGGAGCACTGTAATTACAATAATGACCTCCCAGAGCTATTGTGTCTTTTAATTAAGCCTTTAAGAGTAGGCATTTGCCACTTAATCCTAACTCACTGTAACTACTGCAGCATATCATCTACATTTTCACAAAGAATTACTGTGTCATATTTCTGTCAGAAAGATGAAAGGGAATATTTTAGTTCAAGTGGCATTTACAGAATGAAACCGTATGAAATAAGTGGCCCATAGATGTCCTTTTAACAGCACTTCAGACCAAGTAAATGCTTCTGTTCCCTTTCTTTCTCCTGCTACTCTGCATCTTCCCAGGGTAAACTGGGAGAAAGCAGGCAGGAGGGGCTACACAGAGCCAATATCACACCTGATTACATGGATGATAAAGCTGTGACAACAGATTTTAACCAGAATACAGCACACAGCAGCAATGCCACAAACTTACTGTTTTCCAGTTTCATTTAACTCTTTACCACTCATCACAACCAAAGCAGCAAATAGTTCTTCTTGGTGCCCACCAATTCTGTCTCTGCTTTCTTTGACTGGGAAAGCTTTCCTGAGATCCCTTTTGATCCAAAAGTATTCTCAGCTAAAGAAATATACAATGCAAAGGAGCGTCCTAATGCTATTTTCAACACCATTAACAAATTGTTAGGGGTATTTTCTAATAATGGCTCCAATAATGAGGAATTCTTTCCAAAAACATGCATGTGAGTATGCAGAAGAGTTTCTGTCTGTTATCTGAATGGCACCACTGTTAACTCACATAGGGACACTGAGCAGCTCTGTCGGTCCTACTTGATTTTAACAGACTCAAAGGCACCGGTGATGAGAACAATTTTGTGCTTGTTTATTTGAGGGATTCTTATTCTGACTATGGAAACCTGACTCGGCCCAATTTCCACATCTTTTCAGTGTCTTCTTTGATATGAGTATTTTCATTCCACTATACTATTTGCTTCCATCAACTCAAATACCACATCCAAACAGTCTGATGAATGAAAAGAATTAAAGAAAAAACTATGGAAGTAGTAGGGGAAGTTAAAAGTCATCATTAGCCCCTTTTGTATTTCTGCATCATCACAAAATACTTTCAACACTGCCTTGCCATGGCACACCAGAAAAGAAACAAAACCAAGATTTTTTAAAATTTTCTCCACAAACAAGGCAGGGTCTTTTAATCAACAGTCAGCACCAGTTTAAACCATGCACTCTGATCAGTGTAGCCTTTCCAAAAGCACATGCCAGTATCTTACCAGACTTGGACATCTTCTGAGCCTTCTATTCTTTCTCCAAGGAAGCATATTCAGTTACTTCCCTGGCTGGCCTGTAAAATACTGAAGACAAAGCACTGTTTATATTAATATGCTACCTGAATGACATATTAACAAAACAAAAAAAAAAATCTTTTTTATCTCCAGACACATGAATTTCTCTTCTGCAAAATCCTATTTTGTTATTGTCTTTCAGACCTTTGTCATGCTTGTTCTACCCTTTTACAAGATCTTTCATGAGCCTGAAAAATACTCACTGTTCACATCATGGGATAGATGTCAACTGCTGCCTTAAGTTTCTTTCTTTCTCCTTTCCTACCCTTTGCTGGAGTGTTAAAATCGTATTACCTTCCCAAGCTGATCTCAATATTAATCCACAATGGATTACTAGAGCATGAGAGAAACTGATGCTGAGTGGCTCTTTTCTGCCACTTCAGGTGAAAGTAATACTGCTATATCAGGTACACAGAGACAGCCTCTTAGCAAATTCTAATCTCCTGCCCACACACCATGCAAGTCTAGTGAAGTAATCCAGGCTGACACTGGTAAAAACTTGAACAAAATTACTTTGCATTATATCACCCAATGCTTTATTCGCATTACAAACCAAATTTTTGCACACAAAAGTGGAAAGACTTGATGATAAATACCTGTTGCCATGGACAAACTACCTGTAGAAAAATAGGTGTTTGAACGGTTAAAGGTGTTTGAAATGGTTGACAAGCATGTGTGGTTCATTTCTGCCACTTCAAGAAGAATTACTGTATCATGTACACAAATGCAATATTTTCTCTTTGTAAGGAAGTAATTCAAGCTCTTCTAAGGCATTCAGAAGGGTCTACAAGATTGGCCTATAGACAGCATTGGCTGGTGGGGCATAATTCAAAAATATTCACAGAAAACTGGCTTCCTACAAGCAATAACATAAACAAGATCTTTTATTTTGTGACTGGACTGAGGATAGGAAGGAAAATGATAATGCTTTTTTAATTATTTGGCATCTAAACAAAGATCAGAATAAAACTCCCAGTATTTCTGCTCAGTACAAGATTTTGTAGTACTCTGAAACTGTTCAGTTTCATTTTTTGATTAACTCCTTCTTATGGGCAGATAATTTTAAAATTAAAACTCTTCAAAATATCCGAAAGCTCAAAAGAAAAACACTCTGCATTTCTCTAAATAAGAGGCATTACTTCAGCATTTCAGAGTGCTTCTCTTTGTGTTTCTGCTTTTAAAGAATGACCCACCACCTCATGAGGATACAGCAACGTGATAGACACATCTCAAATTACTTCCCTAAGGTGAGAGAAAGGAGGTTCAGCCCTAATGAACCAGCCCTCTTGCCAACACTTTTGCATATCACCCCTTAACCAGACCCTTCTCTGTAGGCTTGATGTGAAAAGGTCACTGGCCTTTTATCTAGAGAAGATAGACCCTGCAAAGTCCAACCAGCTCTTCATTTCATCTGACACCAAAGCAACAACCTCTGCCTCAGTGCTACAAGGCAGGCACCTCAAATGCCTGATCACACATCCTTCTGCTACAGCTTGACAGGCTTACAGTGTGAAGGATGTGTTAGAGCTCATTCCATTTGGAAAAAGAACATCTTTGACTGATGAAATTGTATCTCTCTCTCTCTTTAGAAAAAGTACTAAGCAATTGGAAGTTCTTCGTGACAATTAGAATCATATCCCAAAACTTGTCATGGATTTCAGCAAGCTTTGGATCAAGCACATGTATACCAAATGAGACTGTTTGGGTTTGATTTCTTGGAGGAATTTAGGTTGAGTCTGCAAATGTTAAAATAGGTTCAGGCAGCATGACTGACATGCTCTCATACTTCCACACCTTCAGCAGCATGGATTTCCTTCCCCACACAGACAATTACACCCCTTTTTAAAACTTGTTTACAAAATAGTATTTTATTAATAGAATTCTCATTTCTATGCAGGATATATATTTTTTAATACCACTGGGCTGAATTGATCTTTCAGATACTATTTCTAATCAAGGTCTGAGACAGTTTATTTGAAAGTCATCCCTGAAGTGTGAAATGGGTATCTTTACATAGATGTCTGAAATCCTATTCTCTCATTGCAAATAACCTTATCACAACAAATAACCTTATATTCCCTAGAAACAGAAGGATTCCAATTCTTTTGGTTTGTTTTTAAAGATCTTTTTCTTACTGTTTTGGGAAAAATATCACCAGGAATTCAGTTGGTCAAACCTTTCTGACCACAGAAGCATCTAGCTCCTAAAGACAAAAGGAAAGCAAAAGTCCAAACTAAGCATATGACCAGCAGCAAGCAACTGACTGATACATTCAAGCCCAAACTCAGCATCAAGTTCAAGCCATCGTGGATGGGTAGGGAAGGTGGTGGATTTTTGCTGAGGAGAACACAAACCCTGTGCCTTGTGAAAGCAGAAAAGCTGGGGAATGGTTCCCCACCCCCAGCATTCAGTGGCACACGTTGTTATACACAGAACTGCTCTGGGTGTGCAGTGAGCTAACAGAAAGCAGACAGAAGCAGGTACCGATAATACACCAGAACATATTGTCACTGCGAGAGCCAATGCACCAGCACCGAAGCTGCCAATTATCCCCAAGTCACTGATACATTATTTTTTTAATCCCAGAGAACAATCTATTGCTGGAGGCTTTTTCACACCCATGACTGAAGTATCCCTGGTGGCATGTTGACTAATTAAGAGCAAAATCCATCTCTTGATGAAATAACACTGCCATTGAAAGAGATTTCTACAGTTAGAAAAAAAAATTGTTTAATCAGGCTAGGAGGAGCAGCATCCTGACACTTGCACTAAGCACAGGAAAGAGGTCTACAGCTAGCAATTAACAATGATGAAAAGGACAGTGATTTAAAGCATATTGCCATGACATTTTTATCAAAGTAAATGAGTTTGCTAGGCCCAGCGGCTGCATATGCTTATTGTCATTTAATGTTTGGATAGCAACACATCAGGCACCGGGTATCAGGAGGTGCCGAATTTAATAAGTCATTTTGACACTGGCGTGAAACGAACAAATCAGCATTCTGAGGAATGTGTTCACACTCTGAGCAGACAGGCAGACATCCTAAGCATGTGAGGTGACACCAATCAACAAAAAAAATGGGAGGTGGGAAAGAAAGGGAGTGAGAGATGAAAGCCAGGAGAAGAAACAGGCAGCGATACTCCGATGAAAAACTAGTTCTGTCCTGTCTGCTGGTTTGCCTGGTTGGTGTCAACAAGGCAAATTTCTTTTCACTAAGGCTGAGATACACTGCATATCTTCCATGGCATAAATCTCATGTATTATTTAAGCCCTACATGGATTATCTCAAATGAACTAAAATTAATGTCACAGAAATCTTTCAGGACTTTTCATTGCTTTAGTGGCAATGCAAAATTCCTGCCACGTGCACAGTTAATCAGAGCTTGTTTTTTAGCACAACAAGGCTGGCTCTGCACATGTACTTTGAGAGCCTCTCAGACACTTTCTCCCCGAAGCCCAGAGGAGTTGTGCCTGTGTGAGCAAGCTAAGGCTCTGGTTTTTCATGACTTTCAAAGCACTGGCAGCAGTTTTGATCCCAGCTCCTCTGCCCTCTGCAGATGGGCTGCTCTCTCTGTCCCTCGCCTTCCAGCCCTGTTTATATTCTCTTTACCTCGGGGTATGTCTGCAGTGCAGAGGTACCTGAGTTAGCTATAGAGCTCCCCAGCTCAGGTGCTGCTCTAGATGTGGTTGTGTGGAGCTCAGCACAGACTAATTTACCCCCACTGTCCCTAATTCATTTAAAGCTACTTTAACTAGGCCGACCTGGCAGACTCACTCCCCACCACTATGTCCCTGTCCTCACCTCTTCACTTCTAAATACTCAATATTTCACCACCACTCTTTTCATTAGGTTTTTCTACTTCTAAATTAAGATTCAAAACCCAGAAGAATTGTTGGTACAAATTCAACAATCCACTTGCAATTTGAGATTTATCTCCAACTGTCTCTTAACAGGGCTAACGAATTTCGTTCTCAGTCAGTCCTGAATGCCTAAAAATGCACATAAAAAAAGTCTTGGAAGACAAATGTCATCTCCTTGTCTTGCAGAGCATCAGAAAATACATTAGGATATGATAAAACAACAGTTATGATAAAGAAAAATGAGGCATTAAGGAATATAACCTAGAATAGGAGAAGCATTAAGGAGATGTGGTGAAAAGAGAATAAAGGAGATGAAAGAATCCTATTCATGTTCTGTCAATTTCCAATCCACATAAGTGAGAATAAATCTACTTTCCTCACATATACCATTTAGACTTACTCCCCTTCCCAATTTGGACTTGTGCTCTTCCCCACAAAAGACTAAAAGTTTAAGTTGACTGTCAGGTAAATACTTCAACAAAGCAAGCAAGAAAAAATAATCACTGGAACCCTGTAATTCTATCAACCTGCATAACCCACATATGATGAGGACAGGACAAAAATAAGGATAGTTGCTATTTTTCTGGGCTGATGGGAGGTCTCAAGAGAATAGTGTCAGGCTTGCAACATCAAGTGAAAAACAGGCTGAGGTGATCTGCTTACTTGTTAGAGGAACTCCCCATCCCCAGACACTGCTGCACCTAATCCAGCCATGGATTACATCAAAAAGCTGGTGGTTATGCAGCTTTTATCCCTTCCCTCCCTCCCCAAAAAACAGTGAAGAAAACAAACTATCTTCAGCACAGCTTCAGCACCGAAGAAGAAGAAGAAGATAAAACATTTCAGCCATGAGCCTCCTGCAGGAGATGGTGCTTGGTGCCCTGGGGAGATGGAGGGCACAGCACTTCCCACTTCAGCAGGGTCATGCTCACCAAATTACACACAAGTGGGGCACAGCCTGGGAGTCATTTCACAGGCCTGAGGCTTTGGAATTCACTAGGCTCTCTCTGGCAGCACATGACGACTCTGGGTTAATAAAGTTAAAAGTGTGTTATATTGCTTGTTAAACTTTCCAATAAGCACTGAAACAAGAGCAAGAGGGGCTCTGGGACCACAGAAATGCCAGTAACAGGAAGAACTGTATACAATGCTGGACAGGGAGCAAGAAATGTGCAGCTGTGAAAGAGCAGGGGAGCAGGATTATTGAACACGCAGTCTTGCAAGTGCATCTGAGCCATCCAGCCACAACATGCTACAGAAGACAGAGGGGAGCACTGGTGCTCAGCCAGGTATGAGAATCTTCTCATGGCCCAGAATACATCCCCCTCCCAGGATTTAGCTGGCTAAGCAAACCTTTAGCTGGCTGAATTCAAGATCAGCTCCATCACTGATAAGAGCTGCTGTGAAGAAAGCCAGAAGCAAGGACCTGCCCCTCATTTCCCTTGGGAACCATTTCTAAGCTGAAGCTTTACCACAGGTCTGTCAGGGAGAAGTGAGGAGGCGGCTCTGCAAGGCACAGGAAGCTGGGAACAAAGAGAGCTAAATAAAGAAGGTTCCAGATTAATAAAATTCCAGCTCTGACCTCACCAACACAAAGTTGGGGCAGAAATTGGTAGGTCCAGGTCAAGATGAGGGCAAGAAGCAGTGATCAGTCAGAGTCCAGTGATCACACAGCGAATGTGCAGCGCTGGGGCACATCTGATGGCAAGCAGGAATGCCATCAGCAGGCACTGGCCCAGGTCTGGGTCAGAGTGTGCCAGCACGAGGCCATGGCAGACACAGCTCTGCATGGATGTCACAGGGCACGGGCAGGGCCAGCAGCAAAGCCTCAGCTGTACAGCAGCTCCCAAAGGAAAGGAGGGCCAGGCCATCACTTCTGGCTTTCTTCACAAGAGCTCTTAGCAGTGAAGGAGCTGACCTTGGACTGTGCCAGCTGAACTCTAAGCTAGCTGGATGAGCTCCCACCAGAGGCCTTGCCCAGCTCTGATGCATCAGTTGTCTCTCACTGCTACTCACGAGATACAAAGGAGGGTGTTATGGACCAGCCCGGCTGCTCCACTGCTATTCAGGGCAAACTCCAGCAAGACTGAAACAAAAGAGAAGAAAAATTGCTGAAGGCAAAACCAATGTCTGTTACAGCTAAATTTAAAGGTCACATATCAGCTGAGGAAAATGAGTTCTCAAATCTCTGAAATGCAGTCTCTTCGCTGCGACCACAGGTTGCAAATGTTTTCCAATTTCCTTTAGTGTTCAGAAGCCAGCTCATCTACATCCTAAGTCGCTGCAGGAAGAGGAGCTAGAGCAAAATGCAGAAGGAAGGCTTCTAAGACCTACATATCCCCCATTCTCATTTAACTTTAGGGGGCAGGGAGAGAACTAACTATGGATCCAAACTGAACATCAGTTTGTTCTTTCATCCTACATGGAGAAGGTATATCCAAACATCACACCAACACCACACCTGTAAGCAGCAGTTTACACAGTCCAATTTAAAATTACTTGCATCCCCTGGAATGTGTAAAAGGTACAATAAAATTTTTACTGTCTGAAACTATAATAGACTTTTCCCTCTTGTTTTTTTCTTCCCACACTCTCTCCTTAGACCTCACAGTTCAATGTGTAGGCAGCAGAGCATTTTGCCACCCAGTCACATTGCCACATTGCAAATTAATATCAGGCAGCAAAGGCATAGCAGCCCAAGATGAAAAGATGCCTTGGAATCCTTCATATTCAGTTAATATATTTCCCTTCCATTTAGTTATGCTGGCACTAACTCCATGCCCAAGAGGGCAGTGCAGCTCTGGCAGGCTGATGGGAGGCTTCTTGGTTATTTGCCAGACACAGCAGGAAACTGCACAGAGCCCTCATGGCCCTGCAGAAGAGTTTTTCCTCCCTGTTCTGCGAGCTGATGCTGCTGAGCTTTAAATTCAACACTGTCCCTGAGCCTGCATCACCAGAGCTACAATTAGGACATGCTGGGAGTAAATGCTTCAAAACAGACCTAGGACAGTTTAAGTAGGCACCTTCCAACTGGGAAGGAGCACAAGTGCACAGATATATCCCTTTGCTTCCAGATTAAAATTAAATAGAAGTGATACCAGAAACACTTTCCAAAAGACTTGTGGAGTCTGCAAACGCCTCTACTTTGTTCTGTGTGCACTAACCCATTTCGTGCCTCCTTTTTAAAACACTGGCTCTTCTCTACTCCTACGTAGTTTGTTGTTCTGTTGCCTCATTCCAGTCGTGTTGCACCTGCTAAGTATGCTCTAAATCAGGGACACCACCCAGAGAGCTCAAGCTAAATAGGAGCAGGAGAACTAGGCCCCAAGGGAGATTTACCCCCTGCATCTTCAAGCCCAAACAGCTCTATCACGTCATTCTTTCAATTTGAGGTGGAGAAACCAGAATATTAAATCACATCAAGAGATGCCCAAGCATGTTTGATATTTTTGCCTTCTTTTTCCTCTTGGCCTACCATAAAAAGGAAAAAAAAATCAATAGCAGTTTCTCTGTGATTGATAAAAAAATCTTATACGATCCAATGTTGAAACCAGTGACAAGTGAGCCATGTCAGGGAGTTTGTTTTACTTAAACAGGTACCACAGATGGAACAGAGAGTAGCTTCCACTTTTAAAAAGAATGATTCAAAATCAGTAACAAAGCCACTGAATTATGAAGCCCGAATATATCATTCTTTGAATGGATCAGGTATTATATCATAAAGAGCAAGTAAAAAAGTGGCAGAGGGACACCTTTACGGTCTCCTGTTCATTTCCCAGTCAAATTAGAATGAAAGCTGCTTGGTTTCCGTCCCAGGCTTGCAGTTTTTGGAGTCACAAGCTGCAGTTTGGTCATATATGACACAACAAGGTTTGGCCCATTTCTAAGGAGCAATAGATTCAAACATAGTGAGCTGGTAAAACACTTTCATGTAACTGCAACAAGCAACCTGCAGATATTAGTTAAAACTTCTTTCCATAAGGACACTGCAAAGATAAGAAAGGTCAGTTTAGAAGCATCTACCTGTTGAGTCTAAAAGCAGAAGACAGACCCTCTTTAGTGCTCTCACCTCCCAAAGTCAACATCTGCTGAGGGGACTGGGACTGTTATCAGCTGCTACTCTGACCTCCACAGACAATTTCGCTGCTCTGACATTAGCTGAGAAACTACACCACCCAGCAGAGAGAGGACAATGACAGGAGAACAGAGCTCACCAAGAAATGGAAATTCCTGATGGATCTGTTATCATCACAAAAGTCATGAAAAATAAAAAGCAAAAGGATAATGCAGCCTAAGTAATAATAAAAAAAGACCTTTCTATTCTCTTCCTCTAGATCTTCTCCAGCAAATATAATTTAGTTTTCTAAAGATCATGCCCAGGCATTGCTAATGCACAGCCTTTTGCAGTATCCATTGGAGGTAAGAATGCATCACTTCTCCTTTCTACTGAAATAGGCTGGGAACTGCCCTGTGCTCTTGAATTTTTCCTGCTGGTTTAACTTTGCTCTTTCATTTAAAATATCTTTGTTTTCATGGGTATTTCATGCTGGCTGAGGAAGCTAGATGATGGGAAATTACATTTTAATGATGAGTGCACAAAACAAAACAAAAACCTCATATGGCAGCAGAAAGGCCAGAACTCTGAGTGGAGAAAGCCAGCATCCCACACAGCTGCTTTCTGGCTTCTAAAAAAGGATCCAAGTTAATGTTGTACTAATTATACCCAGGTGTAGAACGAGAGCTGGTTTTCATTTCTTTTCAATTCAAACCATGGGACTGGTTTTCAGCCTAGATTAATTTGTCCAGGGGTCCTTTAAGGGGTGTGGTTTCATTTGCATCTGGCTTCAGTTTCAGGGTTCCCAGCAGTGGCACTTCTCTGAACTCTTATCAAATTAATTGGGCACTCATGCATAACTTGATTGGGCACTCATGCAAAAATTAATTGGGCATGCAAGCGTGAAGAAATTGGGTTCTCATGCAAGAATCGATTGGGCAGCGATGCACGAATTAACTGGGCGTGCAAGCAGGAGCTGATTGTGTGCTCAAGCAAGAGCTGCTGGGCACTCAGGCGTGATCTCATGGGGCACTCATGCGTGAAGAAGCTGGGCGTGCACGTGTGAATGCAGAAAAGCCTGTGCTTTCTGCCCTTCGCCCCTCGAAAAGCACATAGCAACTGGTTCAACATCTGTCCATTATAAACTCTACTTTCTACATCATCACAGCCTTAATACACACTAATTGCAAGCTCTACGCTTAGCCCCTGGACCAGGCAGTAGGAATAAGCCCTGTGTGGTGCACACTTTGCCCAGCACAGCACTACGAGCACTGCTCATAATGAACAAGGGTCTCCCTTCTGCTCTGAGCACTTGTTAACACTTCTTTTAGCAGCCTTCTTTTATTTTAAAAGAAGAGACCTTCAGCTCAACTCCCCACATCTGCCATGTGCTTCTGGGTTCCTCTGGAGATCTGTTTAAAGGACACAGTGAGTCTCTCCACACCCTACAGCACAGCAGCTTTCCTGGAGTTTCCCAGCACACAGACTCTCCTGAAGCCCTGGCTGGAAGCCACTGGGGTAGGGGCTCAAAGCTGACCCCATCCTGTCCCAGTCATCTTCCCATCCCTCAGGGCCTTGTTCCATTAGCCTTGAACTCTCCATTTCCTACTTGCTTACACACTGTTTGCACCTACCCATCTAGACATGAAGAACGTACACCACAGAACCCCAAGTTTCCAATATCACAATCAATACTCCTTCCTAGGTCTTGAAGTCACTTAAATTATTTCAGTCCCAGGCCATGTCAGACTGGGATGCTGCTTGCATTCTCCACTAATCACAGTGCATGAAACAGCCCCTACTGGGGGAACATTTTTTTAGGAAGTTAACACAAATTACTTTCTAATCAGGCTAAAGCATTGAGAGAGAAAAAAATGCAAGAAATTAAGCACATTTTCTCCCCGCCCTTCCTAGACTGCACTTAAGCTAAACATACCTTCCTAAACTCAGCTCCTCTTAATTTGCGCCACAAGTTACACTTGGTTTGCACCAAGTGGTCAAACTTGATCATCTCATTGATCCAGTGGGCAGTGCAGGAAGCTGGGGTTGTGTACACAAAAGTTTCTTCTTCTGCCAGTCCTTCACGTGTCTTGCTAGGTCTTCCACCCCCTGGCTTCCCACTGTCACCTGCTGGCTTAGGTCACCCATGGCCACATTGGAAGTCCCCTTGCCCGGCTGTATGTGGTCTTTGGGTTGCAGTGATCCAGGCAAGCACCATCCTCCTTCATACACATCTTCTCTGCCATCTTCCTGATGGTATGTCTGCTCCAGCATATCCACACTGTGGGGTCCTCTGAGGGCCTGGCATTTTGGGACAGCATTTCAGCCTCAGAGCCAGCTGCAGTTCATGGCCAGGGCACTTCATGGCCACCTCCCATGCTGACTGTGCTGGAACCCCTGGCTGCCAAACCCCACCAGGTGTGGCCAGTGCAGCACCAGGGAGAACTCATGGTGCACTTGGGGGATGAACTCATGCATGTACTAATTGAGCATTCATGCATGAGTAAATTGGGTGCTCATCCAGGTCTAATTGGGCTCTCAAGCGTGACTTGATTGGGCTCTCAAGCATGAATTAATTGGGCGCTCATGCGTGAACTATTTGAGCAATAAATTTTGCACTAATTGGGCACCCATGCGTGAAGTAATTGTGTGATCAGGCGTGAACTAATAGAGTGATCATGCATGAGGTAATTAGGCACCCATACCATGCATGGACTAAACGGGCACTCATGCAGGAGCTCGTTAGGAGTCCATGCACAAACAAAGTAAACCCTACAGTTTAACCTCAATACCTTCCACCCCTTGTCTCTGCAACACACACATTTGAGACATATTTCAACACACAAACATTACTGCCTCTACTTTCAACATTTTCACAATCTTAATAGACAGAAATTATAAACTTCATACTTCCTCTCTGCAGAACAGACAGTAGGGATTAGTATTGCAGCAATGCTCTTTAAAATCTTGTTCCTTGCTCCACATATCATGTCATAGAAACATTAGGTTGAAAAATATGCTTAAAAATCATTGAGTCCCACCATTTACCTGACACTACAAAGTCCACCACTAAACCATATCCTTAAGTGCAGTTCCTACACTGTCAGAATACCTTATCCATCACAGACTCTACCCTTTATGCTGGTGGACCAGACTGTAAGGGATTAATATCATAACCAAGTGCATATGCACATAGTAAAACTCTAGCCCTGTCCCAGGGAGCCAAACTACAAGGGTTGTCATCATCATCACAGCCTGAATGTTCATTCAGAAGCTATTCCAAGCCCTACCCCTTGAGCTGGTGGACTAGATTATTGGGGTCAACCTTATCACAATCTGACTGCACCTACTCTTCACAAACTTCAAACATCATCCCTATGGGATGTAGGGATTATACTCAACCTGAACGTGCATTATTGTGCCCCTCAGGGCATACATGCATGAGCATCCCATGAAGTCACACTGGGATGCCCAGCTAGCTCCTGCTTGAATGTTCAATAAGCTCATGCATGAGAACTCAATCAATAGCTGCATGTGTGCTCATCTGGTATATGCATGGCCACTCAAATAATTCACCTGAGTGATCTGTTGGTTCATGCATGAGGGCCCAATCAGTTCATCCTCAAGATCCCAATGACTCAAACGTGGGTGCACAATTAATTCACATCCAAGTGCCAAATTAATTTATGCCAGACCACCCAAGCAGTTCATGCATGAGCACCCAGCTAGTTCATGCATGAGTGTCCTGCGAATTGATGCTTGATTATCCAATTAATCCCTGCATGGAGGCACAATTAATTCATGCTTGAGCACCCAATTAGCTCACACATGACCATCCAATTGGTTCAAGATGCCCCATGTGCTCACACAAGACTGCACATTCAGGTCACGCATGATCACTGAATTCATGCATGAGATCCTGACCATTTCATGCATGATGGCACAGCTCACAAGCACCCAATTTACTCCTGCATGAGCACTCAGCTGGCACTTGCAGGAGTGCCTGATGATCTCATGAGTGACACACATGGCAGGCTTCAGCAAGGCTGTGAACTGCTCCGTGCAGGTGGCAGCTGCCTCTAAAGCTGATGTAATTGTCCATGGCACCCCAAAAGGAGCACACAGTGCCCTAGCACACAGTTGTTTACAAGCAAGCAGCAGACACAAGAGAAAGAGACACAGAGGGAGAGGTGCCAGAGGAGACACACGGAGGGAAACACAGCACAAAAGGATGAAGTGGGGCAGAAACCCATCAAAATTGAGAGTTAAGGAATTGCACACACAGGGAAAACAGAAGGCTCAGTTAACTTTGTTCAGGATGTGGAGCAATGTCCAGAGCAGTTGAGCCATTTGGTACACCATTTTATTGCCCAGGTTGAGAAATACCTGTGTTGCATCAAGAGAACACTCTTCGTCACACATTTTACATCTGGAAAAAGCCCTGCAGCTATTTGAGTCCTGAACCTTGCTACCTCCAACAGTGGTGGTGATCTTTACTTCTACTGTTGTCATCATCTGCTTTGTATGGTAGAATATAGTAAATAAATGAAAAAAATCTATTGTATCCCTAGCTTTGTGTTTTTGCAAAATTAAATCTGTAGCAAGTGCTCAGCATATGTTAACCCAAATAACCCCACAGTCCACAGGGTCAAGGGGTGACATATGTAAGACATACATATTCAAAATGTTGAAGCTTGGTTACATTTGTTGTAGGATCAGGGAATGAAGTTTTTAAAAGCATGAATTCAGATTGTTATAAAATTAATCCATACAGTCTAACCCACTGGATGGGGTTGAAATCTGTGAAGAGTACATACATTCAGACCATTATAAAGTTGACACATATCCTTTCCTATTCATCCTCAAAACCCTAAGGAACTTGGTCAGGTACCTTCAAACTCTATTTCCAACATACTTATTGTTCATACCTACTACCACTCCAAGATCTAACTGCTGAAACACTTATAGCCCAAATGTCCAATAACACATTTCCTTCTGCTAGCTAGCCTTTGCTAGGGGGATTTTTACTTATGTTACTGCAAATTAATTCACATTTCTAATCACTGACTTAAGTAATGAGAAAGAAGAGAGCAAGCTATTAAATCCTTAACAATCTTACCCTTTCATCCTCACTTCCCAGTTTAAGCTCCCTTAGCTTTCATCACAGTTTACATCCAGACCATCCCAACCTCTCTGGTGAGGGCAGAGAGAGTGTTTTGTGGCAAAATAACATTTTGCCATTGCTCTCTGCCTTTCACTGGGTTTCTTCCACACCTTTTGAAACCCATGCTTCCAATCCTAGCATGGACTGCATGAAGGGCAACATATCATTCCTGTTTTAAGGACACAACTAAGCAATTTTTTTTTAACCAGTGAAGTCTACACTTAATATCCTTAGCTCTCTTTTTGTACCAATTTTACAGAAAGCCTTGCAAATGTTCACAGTACTCACAGCAATATAAAAGGCCAAGGCCTCAAGAACATGTATAATGGTAAAGAATAATGTTCTATTATTAAGAAACAGTGCAAAAACAAAACTGATATGGTGCAATATTCACCACACAGCACAAAATGAAATACTGAGATTGTCAAGCAGATCTCAGTACCTCCAAGACTACTCTTGCTGCACAAAGCCTTCAGCAATGCAACTTGACTGCCTACACTAGGCTGATAAATCCTTTGCAACAGGCAGCCTGGATTGTATTTGAAGGATTGGCCCATTTAGTGCATGCTTCTGCCAAGATACATCTTAATTTACAGCTGACTTTGAAGCACAAACCACTTAGCAACTTATAATATGATTTCTAATCTCTAAAATCCCACACTACTGACTAAAGGCAGGAGGCTTAGGCCTGGAAGTGTTAAAGAGCTGCATTGACAGAAACAGCATTTGTTTTGAAAAGTCTTCAAGAGTATTGATACCAGATCAGGGCCCATCAGAGTCTGTCAGCTGAAAGTCACTTCTCATGTTCCTCTCTGTGTTGACTGGTCTACTTGCTAAGATGTCTCTTGAGCCATGCAAAGTTAGAGGGAAAAAGCTGAAAACTGATCAGAGTGAGAACTAAGCCTGCTTTGTGGCTGTGTCTTACCAGCACAGAGCAGCTGGAATTTGTGGCCGTGGTGGTTGTAAAAGTACTACTGTGCAAGCTTAGGACTGTCACTCTCCCAGAGCACTCTCCATCAGGAAAGGGAGGAGTATTTCCTGACACACAAGAGAATATCTACCTGTCAAAGGTTTGCCAAAAAGCATCTTCTGAGTCAGAAAGGAATGACACTTCACATTGTTGAGATTTAAACCCTGTAAGCACCATTTCCTGTCCAATTATGTACAAATGAGTTTAACATGGCTGTCTACAATGGCAAATAATGATAATTTCTCTCAGCTGGCATCCCTGTATTTAAGGGAGACTCCAGAAGAACCAAAAATGACAGGCTGAAAAATGGGAACTGTTCTTTATGTATTATTGTATTCTCTTCACCTCACAACATAACAAGGACTGACAGAGAAGAGGGATGGGCAGTCTGGGAGTACTCTTAGAGGCATGATGCCTCAGTGGCCCCATGGAGAAGAGACTGCCCCTTCTTTCACCAGCCAAAACCACAATGCCACCCCCACTCCCACAGCTGACAAAATGACTGAAAATGCTGGTAGGGGCCACTCCATTCCACACAGTGCAGGAAGTTTGTCCCCACACTGCAGCAATGTGTAGGTACATGGAACCCGATGAGTCTCCTGTGCTCTGGGCAACCACCCTGGGCCACTTAGCTTAACCACACACATCTACCTCATTACCCAGTCCCAAAATCAGTGTGGAAAGTAAATGAACACTGTATCACAAGAGCCCAGTGTTTAGATGCACTCTCATTCCCTACTTCAATCCAAATTTTGCATTCTGCTACAAGCTGACAAGATAATTGTGAGGTAATTACACTGTCTTCATTTCCAAGTGCAGCAAAGATACAGCAAGAGAATGTACTAGCATGATAAAAATTGCATGTTTGTCTGCTTTTCAAATATTATCCAGCTGGCCTGTGTATTACCAAATAAGTATCAGGCTTAAAAGAATGGCTGGAGAATGCTTCAAAGCTCTGAAGAACATCTGAATCTGTCATGAGGACCTAACAATGTATGTGCAATGCTACAACTTACAGGCCTAAATAGATGAGAAATAACAGGGTCATGCATATATGTGTATATGCTTTGAGGCAAGTTTTGGATAATCTCAGTTTATGAACCTTACCAGCAATATGTCCAGAATATCTGGAGAGCACTCCAGCTCCATCGATTGAGATGTTCCAAAGCTTCTTTGATTTTGCACCAGGGTGTCTGCAGCTTTTCACCAATCTTCAGATACTTCCCCAATCAGATATAAAGTGTCAGAAGAGAGGTATCTGGAGAATCTTATCAGCTGTAGGGCTGAAAAGAACATTGTGAGTAGACCAGACAATTTCAGAATGCCTTCATTTCAAACAAAGGACTGTTGATACAGGACTCTAACCAAAACCCAGTCCAAGAAGAAAATTAAACTAAAAAGCCTGGCTGTATATTGCAGCACCATAATTTGCAGTTCAACAGCTTTGAAAAATAAACTAAGAATCTTGGAGGAAATAGATGAAAAGTTGCAGCAGTGGATGATTTGAACAGTAACAGGATCTGTTTATGGACAGAAGAAGGATTCTTGGGACATCTCCCCAAAGCCAGGAAGACTACAGCAAGGCACCACAGCATGCTTAAGCCAAAGAACCTCACCTCATCTGTGTTAGGGTGGTGCTATTTCCTCAGCCTGCTTGGTACCTACCACAGCCCAAGAGCACCTCTGAGTATCGATGACACAGGTAAATTTGTCTTCAGATAATCCAAGGAAAGGCAAGGAAAAAGGAGGTCCAAACCCATGGCTGCCACCATTCAGCTCCCTCAGAGTTAGAAAAGTTCATCCAGCTCAAGACTGAGCCCTGTTTATATATTGTTTTCCTCTTCAGAGGGGTAAGTGAAGCTGCCATCACAGAAATTCTCTTGAGGTTGCCTTGCTAAACCAACCTTGATGAACCTTGCTATTCATCACAACAAGAACACTTGAGTGCTGCAGTGCCCAGTAAATCAAAACAGGCCAGGATGTCTGTAATTCTTAATCAGCACTCTTGAATTTACACTCTCCTCAAACAGCCTTAGAAAAAAAACAGAGTGGACGCCAATTTCCCTACTGGTGCAAATGAGTGAATTTCCACTGAAATCGAGATGCTTGAGCCAATTTAAACAAGCTAAAAATTCAGATCTTGTGCTGTTTCTGCTCCTGCTTAGAGTGGTTTTGAGACCAAGCAGAGCTCTTGTAGGATGAGTAACAATGAAGCAGTGATCTCCTAAAGCAGCTTTCATGCAGAGGTTTGCAGTCCTTGGCAAAGGAGACCTCAATACCCACAGGTTTTAAATTTGGGCAAAGGAAGAAGTGACTTGTTCAAGTCTCTTAGCAAAACAACAGCCAAGCAAGGATATGCCCAAGCCCTGGAGACCAGGCTTCAAGGTGCCTGTTTCTCAATTATGTTTAACCAAATTGCTTTTCAATAAGGGGCTTGAAAATGAGGAACCTTTTCATTTTTTTTTATATTGCCAAAAACCACAGCTACCACACTGAGTCACATTTCTGAGCTTTAAAAAAAGGCTGCTTTCAACATTCCTAATTTTCACTGCTTATAAGCCATGACTTTACAGAATGATTTTATTTTTTTTCCTGTGTAGTTGAATATGCCCTGTATCTAGAGGGTAATTTTGGCTTTAATCTGCTCTAAACGCTAGAATGTCGGACAAGTGAAGCATTTGATGGTGATGATAATGAGTAGCCCATTAAAGGTAATTTTTAAAAAGTTAATGAGCTCTCACCAAGGGACCGACACGTACTGTAATGAAAAATGTTTGCATAAAGAATATAGCTTTCTTGCTATTTATTTTACTTTATAGAGAGCCTATAAAACTTTTTAATATGCCCTCAATTAATTCAGCAGTTTAGATGATGCTTGAGTTTTATTTTCATTCTTGCTTTGCTATAGTAGGTTACAGAAGTTTCGTTTCCTAAGGAAAGCAACTGATATCTCAATTAATCACTCTCTTTTACCACCATATTCACTATTGAATGTCCAGGGATTCAATTTTTTTCCCCCCACTGCTTAATTAAGAGAACTCAGCAACAAAGTGATTTAGTGATAATGACTCTTGCCATTTCTTTAGCTGTGTGGTCACTGTTAGCCACTATTTGAATTTACCAGCATAAATAAAGCCCTTCAGTGACTAAACAAAGTTAAAGTAGCAATAAATTAAGCTCTCCATGTACACTCGGTTAAACCTTCAGCCAACATAAATACAAGCAGCCCTTTGCTGTGATTTGCTTGGTACAATGACATCATACATTTCCAAACAGAACATGAAGACCACAGCCAAAAAGCTAACACAATTCCCTTACATGAATCAAATTACAACAATCTAGAGTTTGTTGCACTGACTGTTCAGTTTCTGGCTTCTATGCCATGTGCTCTCATGTGACCACATTATAAAATAATCTATATGGTGATCTCAATTTTGCATTTTCTGCATGATTACATTTTGGCAAGGGGGCTCCCCATGTCATCGCTCTCTGCAGGAATGCTTTGAAAGTTACTGAAAAGTCAGAATTTGCCAGCTCAGAGTCAAATCAAACCTTCCTGAACCAGATCCTAAGAAGAATAAAGGCTACAAAGGGCTGTCCAGAGACAGACAGAAAGGCAAAAATCAGGGGTGGAGCTAACTAGAGCTAAACTTAGTTAGGGCTGGTAAAAAGGGGCTCTGCCTCTAGATGACAAAGTTTTTAGGTGGTGAAGAGATCAACTAGGGGAGGCAAGAGGACAAAATTACCACGTTATCTTAGATTGTGTCAAAGCAGGCCATTGACCATGATTCTGCTCACCTTCTGATCCACTGGAGCCTCTCCCAAGGAACATTTCTGCACTGCAGGACAGAGCTCAGGGGCAGAAAACAGCTTTTTTTTCAGAAAACAGCTCCACAACAGCGCAGCAATCCCAGGAAGGGCTCACCCAATCCATCAGCACCACAGCAAGCACAGAGGCACAACCTCCACAGCAAGGGCAGGACCTGAAACCTTCTTCCAGAAATCAGGCTGCTGTTCCTGAGGGTTTTTGTGCCCTGCAGAGTGGAAGTGTTGGTGGATGCTGGCTAGGTTTAACCCAGAACTACAAATTACTTGGGAGTGTTGGTGGATGCTGGCTAGGTTTAACCCAGAACTACAAATTACTTGGAAGTGTTGGTGGATGCTGGCTAGGTTTAACCCAGAACTACAAATTACTTGGAAGTGTTGGTGGATGCTGGCTAGGTTTAACCCAGAACTACAAATTACTTGGAAGTGTTGGTGGATGCTGGCTAGGTTTAACCCAGAACTACAAATGACTTGTGAAGTGTAATGCTCTTGTAATTGTTCTTCATTACGACTTCTTCACTAAGCAGAGAATAACTATTAAATTCTTAATGCAAGAAAGAATCAAGTAAAATATAGCATCACAGACATATTAGTGTGCCATAAATTCAAAAAGTATGAGAGGGAATACCTCTCTGAGCCTATGCGTGTGACAAAGGATTAAAATTGGAAAAAACTTAATAAAGAATTGCTACAACTTTATGGTGTAGCCATGAAAGTGGCAATAAGAAGATTTTGCCTCCACCAGTCTTGTGCTGAGCTGTATAATTTTATGTCAGTTTTTATTTATATTTTCATCATGAAAGTCTTTTTGAAAGAGAAGCACTAGAAAAACTGGGTGATAAGTATTATCTGTAGTCTTCACAACAGATAATACTTCTACAGTATTTTAAAAATTAAGAGATAGAGCAAAGTCACTCATATATCAGTTTTTCTCTACTCTTTCTTTATTCTCCTAAGCCTGTGTTGAGTAATAATTCTTGCCTACTAAATCATGACATATTAAGGATGAAAAAGATTTCACATTGGTTTTCTCCCCTCCCTTTCTTTTTATTATTCCTTTTGAAAGATATGTAAAGGGCTGAAATATCATCCAGGCCTCTATGAAGCCAATCAGCACAACGCTTATTAGGCACAAAAGAGAAGATGTGATCTATTTTTAATTAAGCCATCTTTGAACAATGCAACATAAAGAACCTGGCTTTTGAATTGCAAGGCAATCAGTGAATGGATGGTGAGTGAATTAAAAGTAAACAGGAGGAAGAATTCCTAGTACAGGGAAGGATCAGAGATGTTAAAAAAAAATATAACACAACTTTTCTCAAGTAAGGAAAAAAAAAAAAAGAACACTTTTCTTATTAAAATTTTAAGGGTATATTTCATTCCCTATTTTGACTCACTTTTCAAAGCCACATCAGGTTGTTTGTAAAAACAATTTGTTAGCAAATACATAGTTTGCCTCTGCCTTGAACATTAGGAACTGCAACATATATACAACGCTTACTGATGTTTAAATATCAATCAGATTGTGTATTATTTGAGCAGAGTACACATTCAAGTCCACTTTACACCATTATGGAACAGACTAAACAAACCTGACCTCAGGGGTGACCTTCATAGGATCCCTAAAGATTGCAAATGTATAGTAGGCAGTCACCATGAGACTTTTACAGCCTGGTAATGGCATGCAAATGACACTCTGTCTCTGTAAGGCAGCCAAATTCTGGGCTTGTATATGAGACTAATTTCCTGAAGAATTTGGGGAAAATGTGATACTTTTTCCTTTTATGTATGAAATTCACATCTCTTACTAGAGGACTACAGGGGAAGCACTCCCAAAGGTCTCAGGGAGCCGTACTGCTCCCTGTAGCAGCACCTCTCCAAAAGCTGCCCTCTGTAAGCAGGGTGGCCCTGGGACACAGAGAGCCCAGTGTTCCGAGCCCCATTTCCATACCCAAGGACACCTGCTGAGCTCCTCACTGAGCTTTCTGTCTGAAACATTCTCCTCCAGAGCCCAGCTTCAGGCAGGAGACAAGGAGAGATGCTCTGAACTGCCCTGTGGAGGATCCACTCTCCCTCTCCTTTATAGAGGATACAAGGAAACCAGATATGGTTGGCATCTTAAAATCACTAAATAGGAATCCTACTCATAGCCTTCAGGGCTGAGTTTTCTTTTTTTTAATTTTTTTTTCTTCTAATTGAATATACAGAATGGAATCTCTTGTTAGAGGTCGCCTACTCCAAACTCCCTGACATCTTTGAGGTTGCAGATGGTTCAGCTCAAATGAAGTTGTCTAGTGGGTCTCATGCCAGTGCAATGGGTGAAGGCTTAGCTATGGTTGCAGCACCACTGGGATTAAAACTATTTTCACAACAGCAGCCACACCTACATGTCACAGATGTAAGTTCCTTGTCCACACAGTTCATACCTTTCTTGGCACTTTCAGCTCTGTAGCTGTGT